TTGAAATATTTCAGAGAGCGCCCAACGGTGCTCCTTCTATTTGCGTGACAAGCTTTCATTGTTGTTTTCATTGAAGTATTACTCAGGAAACAATGTTAAACACCATTTTTGTACATGGTATTGTAACTAATCTTATATGTGCTTCATTTTGATTTGGGATAAGTGTTTGAACTATGGCTCGGGATTTCCACTGTGGCGTGCTTCTATTGTGACATACCCATACGTATTTTTGTGGTGCGACATAGTGGAAGCGTGTGAGCATAGTTGGAGCATATACCCTATATAATTTAAAAATCAGCTAGGAAACTAACATGAAAATGAATCATTTTAGTCACATGAAGGTTTTACCTGGGTCGAACTAAGATATTATAAATAGGTATAGGCTTAAATCAAAAGTACTTGAAACACGTTTAATTTTAGATTACAAGCACAAGTGCAGGTTGAGACTAGATGAGACTCACCCTATGTGGCTCAATCAAGACTCCCGGATATCTAGCTCAGTAGCATGAGACCCCTGAACTGTGTCACAGGGTAATTTGGAGGGGTACGCGAAGCAAACTGTGCAGAAACTGTGGGATTTCTTACGTGATTGTGAAATTAATTGGAAGCTAAAGTGTGGGTGGAAAAAGTCTAAAAGTTTATTAAAATGGAACTATGGTGCGGATGGTTTTATTGGGCTATTATGGGGTGTGTTCTGTGGGTTTCTGCTTCCTTGGTACGTACCGGTGGTGTTTGCTGGACGATGGCGGTGATTATGTTGGGCAGCTGTAGTTTGACCGCGATGGCGATCCGTGGCTTAATCACTCCGTTGACAATGGCGGATCGGTGTCTTAAACTGGTCTGGAAGATGGCGCCTGGTGACTGGAGCTGTGGTCACTACAATGGCGAGTTTAGGGCTTGGGTTTGCGCGTTGCGATGGCGGTTCGCAACCAGGGAATATAGCAATCCCTGTGCAGCTACTGAAGTAGCTTTTTCGGTGTCAACGGCGTCTCCCTTCGTTGGCGAACATCAGCTAACCGTGACAAGGCCACCTTGGTCGAGCCGAGAAGGGTCTTCCTCCTTAACAATTAGGACTACCGAGTCCGAGGATGCTCTCCTTTGTGGCAATTATTAAGCCGGAGAGTTGAAGGTCCTTGACATTAAGACCAAGACAGTCGAGACTGACTTGGTCGAAAAGTGCCGATCGTGAGGATATCCGTGGAATACCAAAAAAAAAGGTCCTGAATGAACACCAGGAACATAAAAAGGTCGTTCTCTGCACTTTGGTTCACTTTTGCACTCCACTCACGTCTTCTAGGCACAAACGCCGGTTTACTTCTGGGCAATGGTTGACCATCCCAGCTATCAAAAGCCCTCTTTTTCCCATCCAGTTTTCAATTCGTTCCTTATTAATTCCTCCATTTTCCTTCCTTGTAGCTTATCACCACCCATCCATATCATCTCCTTCGCCTATTGAGTTTTTCTACCACAGTTGATTATAACACCCTTTCGATCCTGGCACATCCAATTAAGCTTATTAACAAATATCATTTTCAAACTACCTACTAAGACAAATTTATACATTTTTCAATAACAGCAATTTTACCTACAATCCTACTAATACTACTAGCCCAACACTGACACTAAACAAACACTACAGTTTCCTAAAACAACATGTACAAATTAAAACCTTGGACATTGTAACTAAACGGTTACAAGGTACTTAATAAAGGATGGGTTATGATTGATTAGGTGAATTAGAGCTTTTAATAATTTATTAAATTAGACTAATGAGATATCATAATCATCAAATGAACTTAAATAAGAAACTTCAGAAAGTCTAATGACATTAGGTAGATTAACAAAAGAATTAGGATGCAGGGGGTCGCTTAGGGAGGTGTGCAATGTTCCTTCTTCCTTAAGGAAACATTGCGGTGAACAACACTACGCACTCACTTTGGCGCGCTCATCACAACTTACTCGCACGTGCGCATGGAGACTCAGGCGGTTATCTTCAGTCGCGAGGACTTAGATTCGCCGTGCGAGGAGTTCTTCAGTTAGCGGTCTTTTACGACTGGTTACAGTCGAAAATCGCTTTGAGGAAAGCTGAGTCTTGGAAAAAGACTGTTTTATTTTACAAATTTCATTGGCTTTTATAGCCTTCGGTTTACAACAATTTACATTGAATTTTCCTATCTTCTAATGGGTTAAAAAGAGAACGAAAGAGACGCCTGGGACATAATGCTGACAAATATTGATATTTGGGTTTTTGCCCTTGCGCGCCCATCGATGCCTTTGTTTTGATTTATTTTGCTTATGCTGTTTATTGGGGCTGTGGTGCGAGACCATCCCGGTATGCAATTTGAGTCAGCAAAACATGTGTTGGGTTATTATATTGCTACGTTCATAACGCACATGCCTGGCTGTTCCTTAGTTGCGTGTTAAATGGTATGTTTCCGAAATTGCATCGATGGCTGTGCTGGCCATCTGACTGTGATTGAAATGGAAATGTTCTTCTGGTACTGGATAATTAAATGCATGGGAAGATGCATAGCACAGAGGCAACTATCCTTTAAAGTTGTAGAATAAATCTTCTTATTTAGTCTTGAACTTTAAAAAGAAAACGCAGGCAGACCAATAGCATTAAGCAGATTAACAAGGAGAGGAATAGTTTAGGAAATAAGTAAAAGTAGAGGTATGTGAAAATTAATAACTTTTAAACTTTTGGAGGTATTGTTTTCCCCTGAGTTTGTTGTACTTGATTACTATATTATTCTCTCAATACGCGAAATCTCTTATATATGTTGTTAAAGCATTTGAGTTAACTTATTTCTCAGTGTTCAAGTACTTACATTTGTAAACAGCAGTCAATGTTAAGCTATGAACTAAACCCTACGTAAAATCGATCTTTCCTTATGATGCATGTTTAACTTTTCACGGCTGTCGGAATCAACGCGCCTACGTCTACGGAGCTTACGCAGAACTGATTCGCAAAGCGGTAGAGCTCACCAAAAGTTTTTTTTTAGCTTCTGTAGTATAGAATTTGTTCGGTACGGTCGCGAAATCTTGAAATGATTAATACGTGCGGTAAAATAACTAAATTGAATCAAAGCTCAACAGTAAAATAAGTAGAATATTTAGGGAGGAAACTAAAATTAATAAACTTGTCAACATAGGCTATTACATTTATTTTGGTGGCACTCTTTAAGTGATTATAAGCTGTTTTTTCTCTACGCCACGTTCACAATTTGCGCGATTTTCGTATCTTACGTAATTTAGATGTTTAGCGCTAAACGGTTTTACTGACTCGAGGTCGTTCCTTAAGCGGTGTTGGCACAGGTTAAACCTTTGTCTACTGTTGGATTCAACGCGCCTATGTCTACGGAGCTTACGCAGAAGTGATACGCAATTCGGTAGAGCTTGTCAAACGCTTTTGAGCTTATGTAGTATAGAATTTGTACGGTGCGGTAGCGAAATCTTGAAATGATTGATACGTTCTTTAAATTAACTAATTTGATACAAAGCTCAGTAGTAAATAAGTAGAATATCTAGGGAGGAAACCAAAATTAATCAACTTGTCAACATAGGCTATCACATTTATTTTGGTGGCACTCTTTAAATGATAATAAGCCTTTTTCTCGCTTCGGTTGTCTCACGGCTTTCGAAATTTGCGCGGTTTTCGTAACTTACATAATTAAGATATTTCGTTCGAAACGGATTTACTTATTCAATCCGTTTAATACGCGGATGTATCTACGCGCACACGTCACGGAATTTTTCTATAAATATCTTGAAACAATACATACGGAATCCAGTGTTCAAGCGGCCAACATAGGCTAGTCCTTCTGCTGTATTGTCAAAGATAGAAGCAAAATTCATTCAAATGGGTCAAGTCTTGAAAACTAAGCTGTCACGCAGCTCCAGCTTGATACCCAATAAAAAAAATGATTTATGATGAATCTTCATGAAAACGAATTGATTTGCCTTGATACAAGCCCAAAAGCACGCGGAAAACTCGAAATTTGTAGCAGCAAAATCAAAACCGACCGTTCGCGCCAACTACGCCCGATCAGAGCTACACGCTAACTTGAAAGTACCCATTAATGGGTAAAAAAGATCCATTTTGAAGAAAAGTGGCTTAACTCATTAATGAATAAATATTACAGTAACTGATTATAATGATTAACTCATTAATGGGTAAATTTTTTACTAATTTAATTAGTTAAGCCACTTTTCTTCAAAATAGGTGTTTTTACCAAGTTAGCGTGTAGATTTTATAGTTATACAGTCAACTCTCCATATCTCGATGTTCTTTATGTGACTTTTTTTTCTATATGTCGATGGTTATGCCGGTCCTTTCAAACGGTCTACTAGGCTATTCATTATGTATATCTCGATCTGTCCATATTTCGATGGTCCCTTCAATATCGAAATATGGAGAGTTGATTAAATGAACGAAAAAAAAATCAAAAGTTAACAGTTAATTTTTCCGAAATATTTTAGGTGAAGTTTCAGATTTTCCCGGACATCAGGTAATTTGAAAATTCATAACTCATCGTAGAAAGTACGTTACGTAGTGAAATAATAAGGATCACTTGGAAAATGGTTTCCCTAATTTTATTTGCAATTTTACTTCACCGTGAAAATGTTCATGGAAAACTTTTTTTACTTTATATTTTATATGGGTAGGTCGGTAAAGACGCAGCTACAAAGCAAGACCATGCTGGAGGTGGCTGGGTTCGATTCCCGGTCCGGTCTAGGAATTTTTCGGGTTGGAAAATTTCTCGACTTCTTTGGGCATAGAAGTATGATTGGGCTTACCTCACAATTATACCAATGCAAAAATGGTAAATGCCTCGAAAGCTCCCAATTAATAACTGTGGAAGCTTGAAATGCGAAGAAGAAGAAGAAGAAGAAGAAGAAGAAGAAGGATGGCAGAGATAAATTCTTTATCATTTCACTAAAATGGCAATGATTTCTACGATGCTTGGATCATGAGTTATGGATCTTCAAAATAGGGCCATTTAATTTTTGGAACAGATCATTGACCACGGATCATAATCTCATTCAAATTTATTCCAAAATATTATATTAACAATAAAATAGAAGGCATGCGGACAAATGGTCAGTTAGTTCACTGAGCTGGCACCTGACGAGGTAGCAGCACTTAGCGCAGTACTTGCATTGCTGATGACTCGACCGGAACAGGCATAGAACGGTCCGGGAAGTCTATCTACGATAGCTCGTTCGGCGCAAGTCGTTATCTCTTGCTTGGCTTCAGCCAGGACAGCATCCTTCACCGCTTGGGGAGCGCTAGACTTGGCAACAAGCACATTGACAACCTGCAATGTGGAAGCCACCCGCTGTTCCACCAGCTGTTCATGAGTTGGCACCGTTGCTGCCGCTTCGGGTGATTGAGCCTGCAACGAAAAGGTGGATCTGAGTGTTTTGAAAGTGGTCACCAATTAACCGCAAAATAGTTTTCGATTCTGAACTGGTCTCAAATAAATCCGGACGAAACATTCAGCCAAGCCACGCCACGGAAATGGTCGTCCATAACTTACCTTGACAGTCGACGCAGCGAAGGCTGCCACTGCTAGGAGTGTCACCACAAGAGCGAACAATTTAACCGACATTTTCGAGCTTATGCCAACCACTTCGAATTCGTTGCTCGCTTTCTGTGAGTGAGACAAAAACTTTTTTATTGAAATTCTTCACCGCAGATAACGCGTTCTCGCGCTTGCAACAGGCAGCAAATGGTGGAAATGACTCGGAATCACACAAAAAGGAACACGGTCTGCCACGGATCTTCTTCCCGGTGCTGATGTTTACGGAGACTGGCGGAAAACTTAATTAAATTCTATCGCCACGACTCTATCGCTTTTATGGAAAACTGAGAAACCGCATCGCACATGTCTATAGGTATATCTAGCTGCTTCATATGTAGGTACGTTGAGCAAGTATTGCTCATTCTACCGCCAACAGATAGACGAACGGACGGACAGACAAACAGACATCGGTACGACTAGTACGGAACGAACGGGATCCAGCCTAGAGACAGGAAAACATCGTGTACGTGAGTAGAGTGCAGAGATAGTTTGGTGATGTTTCAAGGACAATGGAGGAAGAAAATGGGGGGAACGGAGGGCAAACTCAGAAATTGTAGGATGGGTTTGCGAGCAATACGACAACGACGACGACAGTCGCAAAAATTAGTTCCTCGCTCTCTTATCTTTATCTATTAATTATCATAATAATTTAAACTTTACCCTCCCGCTGCGCTGATAGGAGGAGATAGTTCGGAATGTGCATGGGTGATAGAGATGTGCAGTTGTGCGAGTGCCTGGGAATTTTCCATACCAGCTGCAGTTAACACCACTGTAAAATTGCGCGGTGATGATGTGATGTTGAATTCGATTACTTCATAACAATAAAAATGTAAATATTATTATTACCATATTTTTATATGGTTATATTTAGCTTAACCGCATGCAGAACCACGGTGGGAATTGATCATTTTGGTCCTATCCATGCCCTTCCATGTTCCTCACGATGGTTCGCCACTCAATTTATCTCCAGTTTAATAATCACCAGTAAGGAGATAACAATACAAATGCTCCTCTACCCAGATACAGAGATTGCCCCGGTGTGGTTGGTAGCTGAAAAGTTCCAGAAACCATAATTTGGTCCACCGCACAACAACAGTTCGTAATCATCGGGGGTTTGCGTTATCTACGAGGAAGTCGCAAGCGTTTCCAACTTTCTTCTCCGCGGGAAGACCATGACATTCGGACTTGGGGGTGATGTTGGGATTAGTGGCTATCGCGTTTGGCAAATATTTAACTGTGGCTGTTTATGGTGTTTTTCTACTTTCTTCCACAGCGATTGTCACTACCTAGCACCCAAAAGCCAAATGCCCTTGCTGTTGATTAGCTTGTTGTTGTTAGCAAAGAAAGAGCAATGTGATAATTTGAATGCATTATTTGAAAAGAGAACATCTTTCTCACGTTTCCGTGCACTGGGTATTTTCAATTCAGAGGAAAATTAGCACTTGGTGTCAGATTATTTGCCAACTGCTGCTTTAAGATTCATCAAACCACCATTGAATTTTCAATCATCGAAAGCGGTTTTTTCGTTCAAATTTAAAATTCTGCCAATGAAAATGTCATCACTGTGTTCCGGTAGGCCAGTAGAATGCAATGATGACATTTTTCGTTGGCAGAATTTTGAATTTGAACGGAAAAACTGCTTTTGATTTTTTGATGATGATTGAAAAAACAACGATGGTTTGTTGAACCTTAATAGCATGCTGCGGTTGTCAGTTGCGTTGAAAATGTTTACCTGAGATGGTAATATCAATTAGTAACTGGAGATTTATACTCCGAACAGACACCCGGCAACACTGGGCAATTTGGTGTTTGCATTGGCTCGTGGCTCGTGAAAAAGAACTCGAGCTGTCACTAAGTGGAATAATTAACTCTCACACGTGATTGTTTTCGATTAAAAACTTAAATAAATATTCAAAGTAGTTCAACTTATCGTTCTCTATTGCGTGTTCGATCACTACATTGGTGACACGTGACGTCGCGAATCGTAAAGTTTCGGTTCGATTACACGGTTACATATCGATATTCACCTAGCTTAATATTGAAGCCAAAACTCTAACCTAAAAATGCCGAACGATAACGAGAACAACGCAGTAGCATCCATCGCGGTAAAACTACCGGATTTCTGGAAAACTGATCCGGCTATGAGGTTTGCGCAAGCGGAAGCGCAGTTCGACCTTGCAAAAATCGTCAGTGGCGAAACCAAGTTTTACCCCATCATGGCCAAAGTGGATCAATCGATTATATGTCACATAGCTGATTTGGTTGTTGCTCCTAATGCGGAAAATAAATTAGGGAGAACAGTCCATAATGCGCCCCTGGGGTAAAATGCCCACTTATAGAAAGACAGCGATAACTTTTTCTCAGATGCATTTTCCCGATAACGGATTGTGTTTGTTTTCAACTGTACTACAAGACGGTAAAGGATCGCCTAATTGCTCGCGTCGCCTTGTCGACTGAGAGTCACTTCGAACAGTTGCTGGGAGCCCAAGATCTTGGCAATATGCGCCCGACGCAAATATGGGAGAATTGTCGACCGGTTTGGGAGTAGATAACAATCTGCTCAAAATTATTTTCATTCAACGTCTTCGGGCAAATATTCGACCAATGCCATGCCACGATGGTATACCATCGAGAAGTTGGCTGAAATGGCAGACAAGATCACTGACGATTCCTTCGCAGTTGCCATGGTGCACAACGAGCCAACGTCCAACAATAGTGTTGAAAGGAAACTAGCAGAACAGATCGAACTTCTAACTGCGGAAATCCGACTATATAAGCTATAGTCTGTACGGGGTATTAGGATTCCTACGAATAGCGCAGTGAGTGGAGCCTGTCATGGTGGTTCCTAAGGTAACTCCATGAGTAACCTGTTCCGAAAACCGATTTATTTTTTTCAATTCATGTTGCGCATTTTGCACCAAAGTGTAGGCTTATGTGCTGATAATAAAAAAAATCTAATATAATAAAGCACTACATTTAACGAAAATAATATAGTTTCCACGTACTAGTGGTGTTAGTACTTTGAAAATGATTAATGCCACTGTCAAAAGTTACTTTCTTTCCTGGGTTAGAGAGTCTTTCGCTTTCTATTTTCTCCGGTCAAGGAGTGAATGTTAACTTCTATACATCGGGAGTATTTTCGGATTAAATAAAGAATCTGGAGTAAGTTTCGAACCTTTTTTTCTTCCTCTGTAAATCTACTGCGACCAGTTATTTGATCTATTGTGGTATACCCCGTGTACTTAGTTTAGTGCATGTCGTATTACCATAGAGGTAACTCTAAGACCAGAAGGTCCCGAAGAAACGTGCTCATCTTTTTGGCTCAGCTCTGGTACTATCTTCGGTCCCAAGCTAATCGATGCACCCCTCGAAACATAGGAAAATCCACGAACCCCATATTTTATCTGTCAAACTTTCATATTGGCTCACTACTTGACTAGCCTATTGGTTCCAAGCAAATTGATTAGCGTACTCCATTCCAGTCGAAGTTCTAGCACAACACTATGTTTGTTTTGATTCGCTATGAAAGTTTGACAGATAAATTGAGGGACTCGTGGATTTACCTATGTTTCGAGGGGTGCATCACTTAGCTTGGGACCGAAGAGAGTACCAGAGCTGAGCTAAAAAGTTAAGCACGTTTCTTCGGGACCTTCTGGTCTTAGAGTTACCTCTATGGTTTAACTCTGCATACTACGGAAAACAATTTATTTAACCAGAAGACTCACGTCCGAACCCACACGGGTGAAAAATCGTTTTCAGTTACATTCTCTGTTTGTGGCCACTATCTGGAATTCAACTTGACGGCGTTTCGTGTCCTTATTTGGGACCTGGATCATAACAATGACTGCTCTGTGGATAATCTGCATCGGTCCATACACTTTGCTATAGGATAGCGATTTCACTTTGGACTGTAGACACGGTAATCAATATCAATTATTCAAGCTGTCAGAAATACCGGGTTGCCAAATATACCATGATATTCGTATTTTAGAAAAAAAATCGCCGCTTGCTCTATGACTGGCACAATCGGCACAGCAGGTGCACACTTGCGGCACACTTAGAAAAATGTTGACCCAAGATTGGTGTGCGGAGTGACCTACCCCTTGCATCAATGTTTAAAATAAAAATCATTATACGTTTATTTTTAAAATATTCGTGTTGAAAATAAACGTGAATATTTTTGTTTGCTATGTAGCCGACACTGGCCGATCTCGGTTAAGCCTCCTGTAAAGGAGACCACAGGTCACGTTGAGTTTGCCCGGATGAGACTGCCCCAGGGCGAGTCCAAGAGAAAATCTTCCTAGAAAGAAGAGATCGAGCCAGCTTGACTACTACCGAATTTTATCGATTAGAAACCTCTATTACGAAACAGCATAATCTCTCACAACATCGAAATAACTCCAAAAAGCTCCCAGTAAGAGAATACACAAACCCTAAACGACGTTCCACGTCAAGTTCTCCTCATCGGAAGTTTCGCTTGAATTCCGCCAGAGGCGCAGCTGCACGCAACATAAATAACAGTCAAATTCCGACCACGCGTAAGGATATTTTTTTCCTCTCATTCTAATCTTTGATAGGACTGATCAACAACATTACATCAATTTCAAATCAAACATTTATTTCACAACGGAAAACGGTAAGTTGAGATTTTATTATTAACTAAAGAATGCTTTTACGAAATTTCCATTGTTTGTATATTTTCCTACTCCTCTTTATTCTATTTCTCTATCTAGTCCTATTCTTGTGTGCGTAACTACCTTCTATCTGTGCTGTGCTCTTGTGTTTCTTCCTGATGAATCCCACGACGATGCAGCAAGCGGGGAACGGCAAAGCTTGGCACCAGGGTGTCTAACATTGATGGGTTGGGTGGGAATCCATATACGATGATACGTGCGCACGTTTGTCTTGCCGACACCCCAACCTTACAAAATTATTGTACTAATCCAAATATTAGCAATTCATGCTCTTCGACCTTATGGTCGGCAAAAAATGTCCTCCGTGGCGCCCTCGCCGGACGCCACACTCAACAAAAAAAAAAAAACAGAACGGACTCACCAGTTGGTTTAGCTGCTGATGATTGCTGCGCTGCTGTTACTGGCGCGGCGACGATGCTACCTTCAATCGATGCGCGTTCGACCATTGGTGTTTAAACGGCCAACGATTTCCACGTGGGTGGACGAATCACAAAGCCCCGCTCAGCGATGTAGATACGAATCGCTTTCGACCGGACAAGGTGACGGTTGC